TTGACGAGCCCCTGGCACCCCTACATGGCAGACAACGCAACAAGAGACCATTTAATAAACAAATAAATCTAGAAAAACAATACAATGTGCATTTTTATACAATGTTAATAAATCATAGAATGTAAATTTTTTTATACAATGTTAACGATGCTATTTTTATTAAGTGAAGTGATATCAATTTCTAGCGATGCGACATGATTTAGTAAGTGAGGAAGTGCATGTTTAATTCTTTGATGTCCAAAGTTCGTACGTGATCTTGGTATTTGCCATGGATGTATTTGACGGGTTTGATAAATTAGGATTTTCAAATGAAGGTCAGCGAGGTTCAGAAATGTTTCGGATTTACCTTTTAGGGCCGATTGGTACGTTAATATTAAGCGTTGACTGTAAAGTTTTGACACGTCGGTTATGGAAAATTTATCAAAGAGAGGCAATGATGGTGAGGTCATAGGAACGTTGGCTATTGCACGAAGAGCTTTTTTCTGCAGCACGCGGAGCAAATTTAAGTTGGTTAAACCAGTGGATCCTCATATCAGATGCGCGTAGCCTAAGACGGGGAAAAATGATTTAAAAATTTGAAGTTTGATATTGGTAGGTAAAATGTTTCTATATTTGTTTATTACTCCAACTATTTTTGAAAGTTTAGTACGAACATATTTAACATGTTCAGATCAGGACATGTTAAAGGAAAAAAATAGACCCAGAGTTTTGACATTTTCAACACAATGAATAATATCAGAACCATATTTGAAAGGTAGGAATAAATTTGTTTGAGTTCTAGAATGTAGTTGAAATATTACAGCCTTGCTCTTATTAGTATTAATATGCGGGGAGTTAATTTCGCACCAACATTTTAATTTAGATAGAACAATATTTGCTCTGGTAACAAGATGTTCATAATTTATATCAGAAATGATTATACTCGTATCATCTACGTAAATTATAAAATTTACATCAGGGTCAATAGTTACAATATCGTTAATATAAAAAATAAATAGAAGTGGTCCCAGAATGCTTCCATGGGGAACACCAGAACTAATACCTAGCAAAGAGGACATATGGTCGTTGATTGAAACATATTGCCGACGACTTTGAAAATATGATTTTAACAAAGAAAAAAAACACCCCGAAAACCATATAAAAATAATTTATCTAAAAGAATACCATGATCAAGACAGTCGAACGCTTTACTGAAATCTAAAATATACCGACTGTTGACAACTTTTCTAAATTGTCCAGTATTATCACTTTTTGGTGTAAGAGTGTACACTCGGTTGACCTGAATTTCCTGAAACCAAATTGAGAGTCAGTTAGGAGTTTATGCTTATTTGAAAAATTTGTAATTCGCGTGTGCAGAATTTTTTCGAGGCCTTTTGAGAAAATGGGAAGAATAGAAATAGGTCGGTAGTTCTCTATGCACTTTCTATCTCCTTTCTTGAACAATATTATTACTTTCGCGGTCTGCATACCCATGGGAAATATTCCTGATGTCAGAGCAAGGTTGTAAATATGTGTTAAACAAGGCGCATTGATATCTATGACAAGTTTAACAGGTTTAATATTTATGTTATCAACATCGCAACTGTTGTTGTTGCGTAAATTGGCCATCGCCGCATAAACTTCGTGTCCATCGGCAGGATAAAAAAATATTGTCTCAGAAACTCTTGGTATATTATTTCCTGCGTCACTACAGTAAGTTCCTGACCCAACTTTTACAAAATATTGATTAAAAGCATCTGAAAGTGCAGAACCAGATTTTTCTATTCCATCAATACTTAAAGATTCTATTTTAGTACAATTTTCTTTTTTTACCTAAGAGAGCACCAAGCCTCTTCCAAATTAAGTCCGAGTGTTTCATACATTCTGAGTCAAAAAGATTGTTGTAGTAGCTACGTTTTGAACGCTTCAAATCTGCGTTCAGACGGTTTCTCAACGTCTTAAATTTTGCAAGCACAACTAAGTTTCGGGTCTTTAAAACATCTTTATATGAGCAAGCTTTGATACGCATTGATTTTAAGTGATCCCCAGTAATCCATGGTTTGCGCGCACGTTTATTGTTCTTAAGTAGTTTTAATGGAAATGAAAGACTATAAATATTTTTAAAAACCTCGATAAATTTGTCGTAAGCTTGATTTACATCAGCTATGTCGAATATACTGCTCCAGTTTGTTGTCTCTATATTCCGTCTAAATGCCTGCAGTGTTTTTTCGTTGACATCTTGTACATATCTCGGGGGAGGAGCCTTATTGTATTGAGTGTTTGATGACAGATTTTGTTTATGAATCAGCATGAATATAGGTAAATGATCACTTAGGTCCGAACACAGCACCCCAGCAGTAACATCAGAGCTTTCATGATTTGTGATAAACAAGTCGAGCATGGAAGAACATGATGTTGTGATACGTGTGGGATGAGATATTACATTATGAAGACTATTTGCGGACAACAATAATAAAAGTTCAGTCTGGTTGCGCGATACATCAAGCATATCAATATTTAGATCACCGCCAAGGGTGAAATTGCACGTCACTTCAGTGATAGCGGTGAATAGCTTATCTAAGAATTCAAAGAACTGGGATACATTTCCCTTTAATGGTCGGTAGATAACACAATACACTTCAAGGTTTTTGCGTATGCATAATGCTTCGTAGTCGTTTGTAATCATAGAAAATTCGGGTACAATCTCGAAACCAGTGCCCGCTATCAAAATGGACACACCACCGCCACGGTTTTGTTTGCGGTTCAAATAAAAATGGGCGTAACCTGGCAAAACAAAAAAAAAATCACTGTCATCGCTATACCAAGTTTTAGTGAGCATTATAATATAAAACAATGGTTGAAACCTGTTAAAAAACAAACAAAGTTTATCAGTTTTGGATCGTGCTGATCTCACGTTTAGATGAAAGTGTAAGGCACTTCTGTTTATTCCCACGAATCAACGCGTTAACTTCATGTGGTTCATAGAAATGTTCGTGCACAGCCATCGCAAAGAAAAAAAAAAGTAGCTGTCATCTACATATTCGGAATTAGTTCCTGATTTTTCCCTCGACATCGCTAAGGCACGAAACCTTAATTACATCTGAGTTTTCATCTTTACGCGCGAATATCTTCCCGCCAGAACACCACACAAACTTCCACCCAACCTTTCGTTTCTGCGCGATGGCCGTTCCTAGCAGTTTCTTGTTCAGGCTCGTAAGGTGTTCATTTATATAAATCGGAGAAACGGTCCCGCCAAAATCGAGAGATGCCGTAGTGATTCGCTTTTTCTTAGCTTTTTGTAGGATTTTAATTCGTTTCGTGCGTTGGATGAAGCGGACAATTATGTTCTTTTTATTTGGTTTAAATGTGGCGACGCGGTGGCAGATGTCAATATCTGCATCGTCCACGGGTTCTTCGAGAAGGGCACCGATCCTTCTGACAATATCATTCACATCTCCTTCGGCTGATACCCCCTTGATCTCAAGATTGTTCGATCGCTGGTATTGTTCCAATTCTTCTACTTTAGCGCCCAGTCGGCAGTTTTCTGCGTCTAGGTCCTGATTCCGTAATTTAAGCTCTAGGATTTCTTTTCGCAGTTCCTTTATGTTGTTTTTAATGGACATTACTCCGTCGCACGTGTCGCTGCAGTATTTGACGCTCTCTTTCAAGCTCCTCAAGTCTGCCCGTAGCTCGCGACGTAGATTTTCTAGCGCTTTTTCCATGATAGTCTAAGCGAAAAGTTTGTAATATCAGAATAAACAGAAACCGAAGTAGGCACACAATTTCAACAAAGCGACTTGCAGGCAGCAGCGACAACGCTTTTCAGAGCAATATTAACTGAGGAAAGAGTAGAAATGTATGCGCACCTGTAATATGGCAAGGCACGAAGTATGAACGATATGTCGATGCGGCGCTGCGCTGCTGCCAAGTGCCGGTGGCTTGTGGTGGTCCACTCTTGTAGTCGTTGGTCCCTGGCGACGAACGAAGGCCGTACCAATCACCACTCAGAAGCCGATGACGTGGCTGTCTGATGCAGAGGCACGTGTGGACCTGAATGGTTTACTCGTGAGAGTGCAGTCCTCAAGGAGCAGGGGCCGCGGCGATCTGTAATATGGCAAGGCACGAAGTATGAACGATGTGTCGATACGGCGCTGCGCTGCTGCCAAGTCTGGGCTTCCCTTTCTGGTTTAATCTTATCGTTTTTTTCACGATAGAATCGTGCTTTTCAAAACACAAAAGAGTAGTTTTCAGAAACGCAGGATTTCTGCAGTCTTTCAACGAGCGGCTGCAGTCTTTCAAATGGTAGCCTTTCAACATGTGGCTCGAAATTGTATCCGGAGCAGGTTACCCACGTGGCGAATATTTTCCCCGCCAATTTCGTGGGAGTTTCAACCTCCGTGGCGGTGATGCGAAACGACGACACCAGCTGCTCAACTCCGGCCCAGCGCAGTGTAGCGTTCCGAGGTCGACGCGCTTCATTTCCTTCCCGATCGTGTGCGCTGGCTTCTGCAACTACGGTTCCCCGAACGCGTCTACGACTGGTGTGTTTATCGCGTACAAAAAGTGATATCTCGACTGATGCGTGATGACCTCCTAAACATAACATCCTGCCGCCAACCGCGACACTGGCGGTGCAGTAGTTGCGGACGTGGCAGACGACTGTTCTGCAGCCAGTCACTCTCCAGCTCGGCAGTCCACGGAAGCTTCGGCAACTGGAGTTGAGACGCCACGACGAAAGTGGCACTCGCATTCACTCGCGCTTTTTTCCAGAACTTCCGTGTCCAACCGTGAGGATCGCGACATCCGATAACCCGAAACTTCGGCTTCTGTGACGTTACTTCTTGCCCGTTTAGGATTACTTTAAACGCACGAGCGCAACAGGACACTAAGCGCACCGGAGACGCGTTGCCGGCATTGCAAGTGCGCGTGCCGCCTCCACAGCAGTCTCCGCAATGAGACCCGTTTCGGACTTGCTGTGCATTCTTTTGGCCTGTGCATGGGAAGTCGGTTCGACTTGCGCGATGTCGAGAGCGTCTCCGCTGGTGGTGCTGGACGTGGACACGGGTGTGGACGACGCCATGGCCATCATGTTGGCCCGAAGCCTCGGCGCCCGCATCTTGGCTATCACCTGCGTTGCCGGGAACACGGACTTGGAGCGGGCGTACAACAACACGCTGAGGGTGCTAGGACTCGTCGAGGAGACGCGGGTATGTAGGCGGCAGAGAGCTCGAAGCAGGAGACAAAACCTTCGCTTCCACACTCCCTAACCTCATCACGAAATGCGACAGGTTAGTGGGATTTTAATAGACTAGAGCGCTACGTGCCCGTCTTTTTGAGAACAACATTCAGCATGTGTAGGGTACTGGATGCAGGCAGCGCCACCTAGCTTGCGGGAGCGTCGTCGACAGGGTGTTTCGCTGCGTCTCAGAACGAGTACGGTACCTGGAAAGCGTCTGCGACTGGCGTCTTTAGACAGTTTTAGTGGACCGTACGCTAAAACTTTGCGTACGCAAGGAAATTGAGCCGGAAATGTGCACGCGCAGAACTCAATAGAAGGGCTAGCGTATACCGTAGTCACACAACACTGGGGAATTTGCGTTGCGGGCTAGCGGGCTTTGCGGGAAGCTCCCGAGAGATCTCGGGCCCGCCGTGAGAACCAGCTTTAAGATGGCTGCTACCTCGACTGGAACAGCATGCGACGTGGTGTTCGCGAAGTTCAGTGTTACGTGAAATTGCGCGGTGTTCAGCTCGAAAATTCGTTCCAGGACTTACCGCTGTCGAATCCGATCGCCATGTAGCTGAAGCAATGCATAGTGAAAATGTTCGCCGCTCGTATTGTGCATGAACGCTACGATCTGGTCAACCCTAAGCCTCTCCTCGCGGTTCATCGCAGACGGATGAACGACTCTTGAAGAAGTCGCCCAAGTTGTTGCTATGCGCTGGACATCAGCAGGTCATATATTTCTTCCCGCGATAGCATCGATAAATGGTGCCGTTTCTATCGGGACGATTGACGGAGGCTGCGGGATCGAATTTGGCTACGAACTCGTATGCTCGTAGTTTCCACACCCCGCAGAAACGCGCGCTTGACCAGGCAACTGCGGTATAGTTTAATTTGAAACAAAACTATCGGAAACGTTTTAATTTTCAACATTTAAAACCAACAGCATAGTGGCACTATAAGCACGGGGAATTCTTCGGTGCTGTCAAATTGGATCAAAAAAATTATGCGAGATGTTCACTGGGCAACGTAGCGCACAACTAATATCGGACCAAGCAGGTAATTTCACGTTTTCTATACTAATGCAAATGCGAGCGTAATAGCCAGCAACGCAATTATAAATCTGTCTTTTAGCATTCTATCCCGCCCATACCTTGAAGGTAGTCCCGAAGTGAAAAAAAAATGACGTCACAAAAGTTGGAGTGCCATGATCTCAAATGTTGTGTTCCTGGTGGTTGGTCGTTGAAGTTCCGGGCGAAAAATAAGCCACGATGGGCACAAAAACGATGTTTCGGGAGGTTAATCTGCGTCTCAATAACTCAACGAGACGACCGGTTTACGTTCGTTTTTCTAGAGAACGTTCACACTCGTCTAAGCCACGCACACAAAATTTTTGACCAAAAAATCCTCTCAAACCGTGAATGGGAAAAACTGAAAAAATGTGTTGGATGCCAACTGCTTATTTTGCATGTGACAAGGAGGTAAGGTTTTTTTCACGCTCATGCTTTGACATTTTCTTGCTTCAGTAAGTTCCAGGGGCACCAGAGTGTGTTTCCAGCTCGAGTTAGATTTTTTCAAGATGGAGGGGAGGAGTGTTTGAATGGTTAACAAGGTCGTAGATGCAACATTACCCATCGAACTTCGCTTTTTTTTTAGTAAACTGAGATTTCTCAGTTTTAGACTGAAACGTAAATAATGCTTATATAAACATTTACAAAAAACTCTGAACTTTTGTACCACCAGCTAACAATCATTTTAACTTTTCTTGTTCGCAAGATTTAAAGGCTGTGTCATTTTCTAGGAAACCGGGGAGAGCGGGATGAAAAGGATAGGAACGATTTTTAAATCATTTGTTTACTTCCAAAGGTCAGCAGATTATTTCAACAATTACTATTTAATAAATATAGTCGAATGATTACAGAATTGTTTTGGAATGTAATTGATTACAAGAAATGTGATTGCTTTATTGGTCACTGTGGAAGTCTAGATCCGTTAACTTGATTTAGCCAGATTTTTGGCGAAAATAAACATAAATTTATATAAATATTTCCCCAACGAATCAACTAATCATCGAACCAAGTTCAGACAAAGTGACTTCTCCCGTCCCCCTCCTAATGTTGTCCTTTGTTTCTACAGATTTTATATTAAGGAATTCTTAACCTAAGTCTCTGACGGAGGAGCGGCATAGAAAACGTGAAAGATGAGTAGATTGTATTCGAACAATTCTAATTCAAATATGAAGAGCATGTCAGTGTAGTTGGAAATGGCAGTGGCAGCATCGCTCTCGAGCTAAAGCAGCGTCTTTACGCTTACAGTGGACTCCTGGAGTGCTGCATTGTACCTGGCCGCCACCGACAAGCGGGAGTAGGCAATAGAGCCCGACGCGGATAACAGTGTGATCATCCGCATTTTATCTGCATCCGCATATTTCCTATTTCCATCCGAACCGCATTCGCGATGTTTTTGAAATATTCGCATCCGCGTAACCGATTCGCATCCGCAGACTTTGTATTCGCATCCCACCCGCATCCGCGAAATTCGGAACCGCCTCCCACCCGCAATCCACGCATTCATTTTGTATCCTGAAATCAAGCACAAATGAAGATTTAAAAAAGCATATGGGTAATATCCTAAAAGCCGTCTGTTTATCTTTGTACAACGAGCTCTCCATGTCAGGGTAACGCGAAAGTCATTTGATCGCATTCTGTTCTATCGTATTAAAAAAGCATCATCTTTTCAGAGACACTTCAAGTCGCTGGAAAGACGACCGCAGTTAAGAGATCATCTCGGGAGTCCGTGGCATTTACACCCTGTCCAGACGATGCGCCCCTCAAAAAAGGAACTTTTAATATATATATTTTTGCTTTGTAAAACTCATTTCGAACAGACACCTGTTTTATAAACATGGAAAAATAACAAATACCAGACTGATAACGTTCTGTCGTTTTATTTAGGTCTAACAATAAAAAACGAGGGAGCGGAAAGGCACTCACTCCCGGCAGCAATGTTCTCGTTCATATGGTGTTAAAGCGTCAATACATCACTGGGAAAATATCAAACTATTCAGTAATGGCAACACCTCCTTTCCCTTTTACTTTTAAGCTCGAGCCCTCCACTGCGTGCTCGGAAAAATTTAAAAACAACACAGTGCCAACTGTCGAGAAAAAGAAAACGCACACACACGTGACGTTTTATTTGTCGAGGTTGATCTGTATACAAGAAAGGGAATATCGTCAACATGAACGGATTCGGACTCGTTCGCCTCTAGTAATTGAATACCCGCTAATGCCGAGTATTTCTCCGTTGGTGTACCTTCTGCTGGGGTGGTATGCACAAACTACGCTACAAAAATGAGGTGGGGAAACGTGTGCTGCCGCAGGTTCCATCACTCAAGAGAATGGAATTCAGTATCCTCGATCTATTTGTAGGAAAAGAAGCAACTTGCAGGCTTGTTCTCTTTTTTTCTGGCTTGTACGTTTTGGGATTTCTTTACCCAACGAATGTTTTCTGCTCTTTCCCTGCCAAGCAAGGGCACGCTCCCCGGGACGACTGACGCTGCTGCATTGTTTTTACTTTTTTTGGAGACAGCATTTTTGAGGAGATAGGGCGGTCTGAATCAAACTTGGACAAAAATCAAATCTTTGTTGACGTAAGAAAAAAATTTCTCCCCAATTGGTACCTTTTATTTAAGGCAGTACTTTGCTACCGGAATACATCCGATGATTGACTTCATAGTATCAGTCACTTATCCACTCTAACATTTGCGGTCACACACGCTTACGGGCAGCCAAAAATGTAGATCCGGACCCGCGGATATCCGCTTGCGATCTGCATCAGCAGCCCCTGACATCCGCATTCGATTCGCAATCCGCCAAATCTGATTCATCTTAATCCGAATCCTCCAGTTTACTGCGGATGATCCGCAGGTAATCCGTGAATATGCGGGGCTCTAATCAGCAACAATACAACGATCGGCCCAACCGCCGGCGAAGACATCATAACCACTTGCTCACCAGACGTCACCACCATCGCATCGCAACAACACAAGAACACAGCGTTTGAGACGGTGTGTCTTTGCCCGTTTTTTTTCATATTTTCCCAGTCTCGCATTTTTTAGTTACGGACTTAATTCACCAGCTCGTCTGCTTTTTTTCACTTTAATTATCAGATATGTAAGTCGTCTTCAAGTCAATGCCTTCATAGGCAGTTGGTAGTGGCAGTGGCTGCATTGATCCCGCGCTAACACAGCGTTTTCACGCTGAAGTGCTGCGTCGCAAATGACCGCTACCGACATGTCTGAGTAGGCAACTTCACTGCAATTGTTCCGACCGCCGTCGACGACATCAGCACCACCGGTTTACCAAGCATCACCACCTTCGCGTCGCAACGACACAAAGACAGACACCGTTTGAGACCGTCTGTGACTTTCTCCTTTATAATAGTAATGCATAAGCACTAGCACCCACAGGACAGAGAAGGGCTGACGGCGTCCGCCTGTGGGCATAACCGTGGGAGGGAAATCCCGCTGCGTAGAGAGGAGGAGAGTAGAGAAGGGCAAAGGCGAGAGGGAGGCGATGTCACTGGGCGTAAACCAATGCGCGCGAGGCGCGGCAAGGCTAGAGTTAGGCGACATCAAAGGCCCAAGCCAATGCGCAAGCGGATGCTGGGGCGATTTTGAAATTGCAGGTGTGCGGAGGGGGTGTGCTTTGGTTTGTGCTACAACCATTAAAGACCTATTGGTACACCCTTATGGAATGTGTTAGCATGACCGTTGGGAAACGCTGAAACTGACCCCTGATTGACGCCGAAAAGAGGCACCGAAAGAGAAAGCCAATCAGAAAAGTGAAGAAGTCAGCGTCAGAGTTTATTAAGGCCACGGTCCCACTGAATGTGGCAGTTTAGGTACTTTTTGGCAGGCCATTACTCATCTCCTTTTAAATACTGTTTTGTGGGATTGATGTCATTCGAAAGGCAATGCAATCCTCT